CAGTATTTAATTTTTTGGCTGCATTTGTAGCATTCTCATCACTTAAAAATAAAAAGTATAAAACATGTCTCTTATATTCATCTGTTACTTCCATTTTAACGAAAATAAACAACTGAAATGTTCCCAATTCTGAACAGTATTATATGAATGAGATCCAATTTAACACTTCAGTGTAAAAAGTATCACATTAGACTGGCATTTTTAACAGAAAAACAAGATTTTTCTCAAAGTCATAAAATGCACACAAACTTATGGACTGACCTGATATAACTATGGTAAAAGTAACATTGCTTCAGTTTACATCTCTAATATAAATAAAATTCTTTATAGAAAAAGCAAAAGCTTATTACATTAAAAAAAATTAATTTATTGAATAAAGTGTACACTGTTTTTGACTGAATTTTACAGTTTGTAAAATTTAGTCAAAGAACAGAAATGTACTTAGCTTCCTCCTCATCAAAAATTTACAATATGAATTAGATAACATTAGACTTTTAATATTTTTCTAGAAATGGGCTTATGATGCAGTCTGAGAACTTTTTCCACAGTTTGACTTAATTGTCCAGTCCAATTGGTCAGAAAAGGGCTAACAAACTTTGTTGCTATAATATTGCACATGCGATTATTGTGATTTGACTGTGCACCATCAGTGTTAGCCTTACACCACAGTACTGGGCAGTTTTTCAAGTATGGCAAAATGACCTTTACCAGCTTAACTTTCAAACCAGCCTGGCAAGGATTTGTGTATGTTAGTACGTCATCAAAAAAATCTGTAAGAATTCTAATTACCCCCACTAACCCTGGTCTCGGATACCGAAGCTGTCCTCTATCCTGGTTTGATATTAAGCCAAAAAGAGCTCCATTACTTGCGGGATGGTTGAGGATTTCAAGACACTCATAGCATGCAACCTTCTCTTCAAGAACTCTAATTAAATAGCCACTGATAACTGCCAGAGAAGCATTTTCAATTGTACAAAGAACACTGCAGTCTTGCGTGAGGGATTGCAATTTTTGTAAAATAGACAGTGAAGAATCATGCAATTTACAGACTTCATCTTCAACATTACAATTGGTTTCTGTCATAACAGGTAACAACTTTGAGGAGGAAGAAGAGCATGGTGCATTTCCATTCTGTGCAGCCTGTAAGATACCAACTTTTAAAATCATTTGCGTTGTAAGAGATGCTGATCGTGCATCTAATTTGTCATTTCCTCCATTAAACTGACGAATGCAGCTAAAGAATGACTCAATTGGATCACTGTTAAATCTCCTCGTCAAAACATATCTGAATTTGACGGTATTCAGCAAATACTTTACAACATCAACTGTGCTGAGTGTTGTCAGGTAGAGAGCATTGTAAGTTTCTTTTGTGAGAAATTGCATTTTCATATTACTGCATTCTTTTTTCATTGATTCCATGTACAAAAGAAAATCTAACTGCAGCCAATTGAGCCGTTCCTCATTAATTTCAGAAAATGGTCTTTTGTTTGGCAGTATGGAGAACAGATGTTCATTCCAGTTACTTATATCCTGTAGTTCATACCACTTGTTAATATTTTCCATGAGCATAACCGTTGCACCACAACCAGAAAAAAGGGAGGCATCTTTGTGACAAAATGGGTTGTCTTTCAAAAAATTAAGCGTCCCAATAACAACAGGTAAGAATATGTCTCTTGCTCTCTTTACTTTCATTTTTTCAAGATTAGTTGGAAATACATGTGCACGTGTTAGGAATCTGACTGGTTTAATTAGAATATTTTTCTGTATATCCAAAAGAATCTTCATATAGTAACCTCCATCAATACATTCATATCCATCTGTCATCTTTCTTTCCAATAATATGGATCGCAAATTTTTAATTATATGATTTGGATCAAATGACAGAAAGAGGGGTCTAATGGTGTTACACGGATGAGGTATTTTATGTAAAAGTTCTCCATTTCCGAGAGCTTTGAACATGGCTGTATTTGTCTGATGATTATCAGCAACAATATGTATCACTGAAAAACCTAAGCTTCCCACTTCTGACAAAACATCGAGCATCATCCTTAGCAGTTCAGCACCTTTTAAACAGTATGTGAAAAAATACCCAACAGGTATTGCATAAGAAGATGAAAGTCCCCTGAGGAGAAAGCACAACATGCGATTGGCTGCTTTTTGAGGTTCACAAACCTCTCCATGTTCACCTGTTTCGGCAAAACCAAATATTTTGTCTAACTGCTTATCATAAACTAGCTTCTGATCAATAGTCATTTCATCCATAATTAATGAAGCATAGCATTCTTCTGCAGATGTAAAATTCTCTTTTTCAGTACGTAACCTTTGCTTTATTAAAGGTGTGATGCCAATTGCACCTGAAGCTTGGCCTACATACTTTGCAAGAGTTGACTTACAAGGCAAACGAAGCAGCTTTCTAACACGAGCATGATCATAACCTTTTGGTGATTTAACATTTCCATAAAATACATTCACGAATTACATCATTACTCCATTTGGGGCAACGTTTATCAAAATTGAGAATCTGGTCTACAAGAAATATTGCTCCAGTGTTTCCAGTTTCAGTTAATGCTGCTATTTTTCCTACTGCTTGAATCAGATTATCTTCTTCGTAGGCCTTCAATTTTAGAGCATTTTTATCATGCTGTGCCTGTAAATCTGCCAATTTTGCATTCTTTCTCCAAAGTGTAGCTTTTAGTTTGTTAATAGTTTTCTTATATTCTGTAACAATTAGTTCCAGGTCATAATTAGTTTGACATGCAGCATTTACCATATTGCTCTTCCTTCCTTCCTCAAAATCAGTATAATTATAAACAGGCCCATCAATAACTTCAGTGTCTACAGTTGTGCTTTCATGCTGAGGACCCTGCTGGTCAACAAGCTTGCTCTTTTTCTGTGGTGGATTTGTACGTACTTCTAAATTCCGTTGTAATGGTGTTCTCTTTGTTTTTTCTGTCTGAGGATGCTTATGTGGGGGATAGTTTGGAAACTGTGAGGGGCATGATGATGAACGTAAAACGCGCCTTTTAGATCCGATTTTATAATCACTTTCTACAAAATGCAGGCTACAGACAACTGACCTGCTACTTGGTATCCACGGCGATACTTTTTTATTACCTTGTCGTGATATAACATTTAACCACTTCTGTCTCAATTGTTCGTTCGATGGGATTTCATGAAATGTAACTTTTAATCCTTCAGGACAAGTTTTAGATCCAGCATACGATGTGCAAAAAGGCACGCAACAATTTTTAGGCATAATGTGCCTTTACTATTTAAACCACACAATGAATGTATTTATATCTATATACCAAGCTGCTGTTGAAGAGAAATCCCGTCAACCGTATATAACTCACGAATAAGTATAACTAAATACAACTATAACTATATGTAATTATCACAATTTCATAAAATAGCTATACTCGCACACAAAAGTACAAAACAACCAATTTACTCAACAGACGATTCTCACTGATAACTAGCGCCAAAATCTTTCGCAGCGGCAAAAAATGGAAACAGTGTAAATACGGCAATTTTCCTTACGGCGGACGGCCTTACTAGCGAAGCGATCAAGTGGCCTTGGTATAATCATTTCACAGTAGTATTTATGATTATAAGGCACTGCTTCAGTGTTTGCCAATTAGCAGACTGCACAATATTGGCTCTTTGAAATTCTGATCCCAACAAATTGCATAGTAGCATACAATTTTCATCTTGTTCTTACATTTGGAAAATATGCATATTGCAGCAGAACTAATGCATCATATACATACACTTGTGCAATGCCAAAAAGATCACTTCAACATTCACATGGATGCAAAATAGAACATCCCATATATTGCTTGGAATAGAATTCAACTATAAACTACATTGTATAGAACAGGATGTTCTCAAAAGAATATTTTTTAAATTTTCTAAAATTGTTTTAGTTTTTTTTTTTTTGTTATATTAAACAGGAAAAAGTGAAACACATTGATTTACTTTGGAAGAAATCCAGATGGGGGTAANGATAACTAGCGCCAAAATCTTTCGCAGCGGCAAAAAATGGAAACAGTGTAAATACGGCAATTTTCCTTACGGCGGACGGCCTTACTAGCGAAGCGATCAAGTGGCCTTGGTATAATCATTTCACAGTAGTATTTATGATTATAAGGCACTGCTTCAGTGTTTGCCAATTAGCAGAATGCACAATATTGGCTCTTTGAAATTCTGATCCCAACAAATTGCATAGTAGCATACAATTTTCATCTTGTTCTTACATTTGGAAAATATGCATATTGCAGCAGAACTAATGCATCATATACATACACTTGTGCAATGCCAAAAAGATCACTTCAACATTCACATGGATGCAAAATAGAACATCCCATATATTGCTTGGAATAGAATTCAACTATAAACTACATTGTATAGAACAGGATGTTCTCAAAAGAATATTTTTTAAATTTTCTAAAATTGTTTTAGTTTTTTTTTTTTTTGTTATATTAAACAGGAAAAAGTGAAACACATTGATTTACTTTGGAAGAAATCCAGATGGGGGTAACTAATGTAAGTAATAGTGGTGTCTTGATTTTATTTAATAATAAAAATACATTCTGCTAGAGCAATATTATAAAAACACATGGCATAAAAGTAAAGATAATAATTTAATCTGCAAAATTATCAAGTAAACCAAAACAAAAGCAACACATTTCAGGAAATTTAGCAGTTGTCGTTCACGAGCACGTCGATACCAAATTAGTGATACAAATAAATTTAAAGCTGTGGACGAGGAAATTTCATACAGTTACTGTAATTTGATATTGTTTAAATAGGTTTTGGCTAATTGGGACTCTTTCGATAAAGTACTCAGATAACATAGTGTCTAGAGTTAAACAAGAGATGCAGTATGACACTATTTTACACATCTTTAAACTCATAGGAGTTTTAAAAAGGTAAAAGAGGATCTATTGCATCAAAGTAAACAAATTTTAATTATACATTCAATAAGTAGGTCTAATATATAATTTATCAAACTACAATGTACTCTATCAATATGGATGGAAGGACTTTGGATAATTTCTTAAAATCCAAATACAAGAAATTATCACTATTTAGGTAATAGAGTCCTTGAATAGAAAATATATCAGCCTTTCATTTGTTATATCAAGTTGATGAACAGCATAACATTAACATTTAATTGAATAATGTTTTCTGTGGCATAGATTGTATTGAATCTAATAGTTAATGCTCTTAACCTAATACAGAGTTTAAGGAATTGAATTTGTTGAGTTTTGTAGTAAAGTTAAAAATATAGTTTGTGATATATCATGCATAAAACTATTTTAAATGGCTGTCAATTTGTTATCTATGTCATGAAAGATTATAGAGAAGCAGCTTCCAGAACTGATGTTTCTTCTCTAAAGATAATAATATAGCAGCTATTTTAAGCAATAAATTCAAATCGTGCATAAAACATTTTTTTTTCTTGCAACAGAACTTTTAAATTAAAATCTATATTTATTCTTATAACAGTTGCCAGTTCTGCAATTCTTCTGACTTTCTAATTCCAACTGGGTAAGTGGTCAAGGTTGAAATATTTATCGAATAAAATAATATAAATTAAGGAGACAAGCTATTTAATGCTACTGTAACTAACTCTTTCCATGTTGCTGACAAATTAACAAAGAACTAAATTTCAGTATTAAAATCACAATAAAATACATAAACAATAAACATTTAGAGTTCGTAATTAATTTACTATAAAAAAAAACAAAATAAATCCAATACAAGTTGCCCCTAAGATAAAATTAAATAAAAATCAACAACTTTTATGAATATTTCAAGCTGTAACAGCAGCAACAAACAGCCTAGTCAAATTTGTACATTGCATATTTAAGGATTTTGGAAAATTAAGTAGCAAAGTAGTAGTATCTGATTTGAATGATCACACATTATAGTGAACAATGGACTTTTTAAGAAAGATGACAGTGCTTATTTTGTTGTGCAGATGGTAATATCATTGCCTTATACTTGAATGAAGTCGTGATCGGTTTTTAAAGTTGCTAACCATCCATCTCTAGTTGGAATATTTAAAAAGGATTTTAACTGACCCCTAATTATTTGTATGGTCAAAATTGTTTTAATGAATAAATGTGTTACTTGAAATTTTAAATATATCAGAGAAAACAAAAAAAAACCATGCTTTTGGTATTGAACTGTTATTTTTATCCCGACAGTTGGTGACATAATTCCATACAAGTATGCCGTGCAGCGTTTCCAAAACGGGCCCTTCAGGGGTTTTCTGTAATTTTTTTGTGACACGACCTTAATATACATTAGTATACTGTAGACCTACTTACTTTGTGACGAACAGTGACCACCTAAAAGTTTTTTTTGGGTTTAATTCAGAAGCTGGACTTGCCTGAGGCAGTGGCTAAAGGACTCACTCCCATCCACAATGTAAGGGAGGTGCTTAGTTGTTTGTCTTTCCACTAATCTGTAAGGAATCCCCTTGAGCAATAGAGATTTCTGCAGTCAAGCTTTGGTAGCACTTAACCTACTGCTTGGTGGCTGGCAATCTGTTTTCTGCCCTTCCTTTACCAATGTTTAACAGTCAAACAATACAGAGGCCTCTCCACAAAGCCAACATTTGCCAATGGATTTCCTGCATGCTGAGAGTTACACTGCAAATGAAATTGATTACTTGGCTGCCATTTGTTCATCTGTTATAAAACTTGCAGGCAACATGGGAAATGATGATAGAAAACACATAAAGACAGCATGTTCAATCAAGAGAGATCACTCTTTTATTGGTGCTTTTACTTCTATAGATGATACTAGGACTTACCAATTTTGGGATGAGCCAAAAATTGCAATTGATTATAGACTAATTTGGATATTTTTATACTTCAAAAATAGATATTACTGTAATTGTGTAAGAAGAGACTCAGCCCCATTCTTGAAGCATCGGATGATATGGCAATGTCCCACTATGCTCGAGATATGTATTGTTTTCATGAGGAATGTACCATCTAACGTACTCCAACTGAGACCAGTTAAAGGAGAAAGTGCATGACCATTTCCACCACAGAACTTTGCAAGTGAATTCAGAACAAGTCCCACCAATTTACAGGAGGATTTCCATTAATTAACTGAGGATTTCCACAGATTTGTAATTAGTCAAATCATCTTTGCGAATAAAATATTTGTTTGACTAGCAAAATTGTGCAAGGACTTCCCATATCCTAAAGTAATTTGAAATATCACTTAATATGTCATTTCAACACTATACTTTTTTTTTTTTTTTAATTATAAAATTCTTGAAACAGCAAAAATTTGCATTTAATTTACTAATATCCAATTTTAATATTTAATGGGGACTTTTATGCCACAAAATTTGTTGCAAACAGAGAAAATATGGGTTGTTCTATTTTTATGAATTTGACTAATTAGCTGTGAAAAATCTTAAAGAATTTTTCCCGGCAGTGGGTTGCTTCCAGAACCTTTTGAAATGTGTAAAAACAAAACTCAAAAGGCAGCAGACCTCGGAGTAAATCTGATTTTGTTGAACTAACATGCTGCTCAAATATGTTTAATTTACTTTGTCTGTATTGTTTACTTTGTAATCCCACAACTTCAATAAATTTCTTTCTGTATCTCAGATTTTTTAGCTCATGCACCCTTGTCTTAATAAAAGTCAAGTCAAATGACTTTTGGAGGCAATATTTTGAAAATAGTGACCGGCTATAAATATTTTCTTTCTTACCTTGCAGATATTCCAAGAGACTTCCGTGTTTCATCAGTTCGGTAATTATGTAGATTGGTTCTTCCAAAGTGCAGACTGCGTACAACTGCACTAATTTTGGATGACGAAGTTTTTTCATTATTTGTGCTTCTGCCAGGAAATCTTTTGGATCCATTGTTCCTTAACAAAAAAATGTCATAAATGTCAATGATAAAACTTTATTTAACAGTTCACTAAAATAAAAACACATTATGCCACTAACCTGGTTTCAGTGTTTTTATTGCCACCGGTGTTGTATTATTCCACAGTCCTTCCCAGACTTCTCCAAACTGGCCCTGGCCTAACTTTCGAACAAATTTCAAAGAGCTACGATCGATTTCCCATTGGTCCCTGGTATTGTGTGATAAACCGGTCGGAGTCGGTTTTTCTATCTGAATATATTAAATACATCTTTAATTAAAAATATCCATTTATTTAATTTATTCTAATTTTCACAAAGAATTTTTTCTTCAAAATTCTGTTTATGAAATTATAAAACTATCCATAAATCTTTTTAGCATTTTAACATTATATTCTAAATTTCATTACATTTTATATCTATTGTCATTCAAGTTGTATAAAGTTTCTATAATAATAATTCAGTATTTTTGATTTTCTGTATACTTCATTTATATTAATGACAAATATTAAAAATTTATTTTGTAAAGTTACAAAAAATATTTGAAATGGATCACAACAATATCTCACATGAAATTACTATTGCAATTTATTTTATAGGCTAAAGGTTATGTCGACCATTGACATCCAATCTCCAATGCATCAAACAAATAGAAAACGATCATTTTTTTGACCTGCATAAATTATATTTAAAATCACATTGCCGACATTTGCAATTTCATGCTGCCTCTTAAGAATCCATTGAGGATAATTTAACATTTTTGCAACATTCTGTAATGTCATTTCTTTATTTCATTAAATAATAGTCAATGAAATTCAATAATTAAGTTGAATATAAATCATCTTCATATCCTAAATTTGATTTCTCCCTTAACATACATAAGAAGTAACTTTTTCAAAGAGATAAATAAGATATTTAACAGTTACATAAGCTTTAATGAAACTTATTGCAAGTAAATTTTAAACATTTCTTGTCTAATTAGTAACTTAAAATAACTGGCTTTAAGTTTATTTCTTGCGTCACAGCTGCCATTTAAACAGTGGAGTACGTTGTTTTCTTCGACTTTTATTCATTTGTCTCTATCATACTTATTTAATAGAATTACACTAATAATTTCTGAAGATAAATGTGTTTTAAAGGAATTTTGGACCAAATTTTGTAAAATTCTTGCTGGTTATAACAATAAAAATCCTACATCTACAAATAATTAAGTATAGGTAGCCCTCAGTTTATGCCAATTCACAATAACGCCGCTGCGCAATTTGCCATTTTGCGGTGTAATTCCCCAATTTTCCCTATGCCAGACTGATTTTCATTTCAGTGTTGATGTATTTACCGAGCCGCGACATTGTATATTTGTTAAATATATTTAATAAAAGTCTTTGTTTTATTTTTTCTGTTCAATGTTATTGGGTATATATACATTTGCATTAAATTAATATTAAAATACTAAACATTTAGGTACCCATGAGTCAAGTTATCAAACATAATAGTCCAATAAATGGCGTCCAAATCCATAGTGCCAATGAATGTATCCCATATCATTTTGTTCAGGAAAACACCTTATGACACAGTAGCACTTTCAGCTATCACAAACTATCGTTAGTGAGACAAATCTACTTCTCGTTGGCCAGACAATATCTCTCTCTCCTTAGTCACTTTCAATTTTCTTGCTCAAACTGACCTTATAAATGTGCTACGGTGACCAGTGGTCAACCAATCACTGTCTCCGCTCATCTGTGGATCTATGTCAGGTTAATGCATCCTTTCAACTATGGAAAGTTTAACAGATGAACTTTGTGAGTTAGACAATGATTGGGAGCAAAGTGAAAATATAAAAAGGAGCATCATCGCATCTATTCAACCATATTCCAAAATTCTTAATGAAAGAAAACAAAAACGTAAACAATTAAAGATAAATCCTTTTTTCCGAAAAATGTCCGGGATCTGAAACTAAAATTTTTAATAAAAACATTTCACTTTATTTTATGATATAAATTTAATTTTTAAAATGTATTTTATGTATTTTGTATTATATTGTATTATTAAACAAAATTATTTGCTCATTTTTCACTTACGTAGAACCTAACCCTATACCTCACTGTAAATATGGGTTCATTTTACGACAGCTTTTGTAGGAACGGAACTGCGGCGTAAACCGAGGGTCACCTGTAAATATATTTTGTGATTTTGTGCGCACAAATTTTTTGAATTCCACAATTTTATAATATATATAGATCAAAACTGATGTGATACAGAGAAGATTGCAAATGAAATCTTTGCATAATAAATATCTTGACTGAAGGACTATTTCCTAAAAAGAATTTAAAATGATAGATGGATAATGCAAAATGTTACGTGGAGCTATCTGAATCATATAAACATCATAAATAATACAACTAAAAAACAAATAATTATTTACCTGAATACACGATTTGCACAGATTGACACACAGGCCATCGGCGTCTTTACTGTAGTGTTCGACTAGCTCTTGCAACGTTCGAAAGGTGGTTCTTCGCGCTATAAAAAACCCGCCCTCGTCCAACTGTCTGATGCGATAGTGTTTTACCGTATCTCCGTCTCGAACTGAAAAAAATTTTTTTATTCTTCAGTTTGTGTTCAAACTCGTTACAGCTATTTAAAATAATTAAATAAAAATTGTTTTAAAAAATATATCACTCTGCTTCAATCACTAATGCCAAACAAACTGCCAATTATTAATTGGGCTGTAACAAGGCTAACTTGATGATTAGATATAAAGCCATTTGGCTAAATTAGCCTCATTATAACCCATCAATAAGCTGGCAGTTTGCTTGGCAAAATAAATTAGGCATATAAAAATAAAATATATTATGTATATTTTAGTGTTGCAACGAATAGTATATTCGGCCAAACTATTCGGCTTGATTAACGCACATACGAAAATTGGCTCGCAAACCACATTATGGCAAGGACCCTGCTCTCTATTGGCCTGCTATCACTAAGCTTCGCCAATCATGTTAATTCTTGACAGTTGTAGTGGACAGACAAGAACGTCATGGCAGTATGTGATAAATGATGATATCAAATGTGGATAACAATGAAATGATCTACATGTGTAAATAACGGAAAAAGAACAGAGAAGGACCGCAATGTGAAAATAAATATGAAATTGAGTTGATAACATAATCGAACAAGTCGAGGCAGCTTATTGGCGCGAAATTTGCGGCTGTCAATGCCAAACAATTGTTGTCATAGACTTCGGAAAGCTAAATGCTTGTAATGAAAGTCACTTAGCATGCACGGGTGAAAGCCTGGGGCTGTTCGGGCTACCAAGCTGTCTCGAATCTGTGAAATCATAACTGTGACTTATACCGATGCCCTATCTGTCTCTTTTCTCTGTTATCACCAGGCTATTAGTCACATAATTGTAAAATGGGAAATCTACAACGGAAAAGTGACGAATTGAAAGTATCGTGAGCACATATTATGATGTATGCATAGGCATATGTGGACTAGAGTGATAGAGGAAAGAGAAAGGGAAGAGCAAAGACGAGCACTTAAACAGAAGGATAGACATGGTCAGACCCTCAGATGTGTGACGATTCTCAAACGAATAGGTGTGTACGTGTACTGATCTTTGTAATTATAAATTGTGAATACATGTGATTAATATTATTTTCTTTTTTATTTTGTGCATGTTATAAGTTATAAATAAATATAAGCAAACAACACTAACCCAATAACATTAAATCTAAATACTAAAATGATTAATTTACTGTGTTTTTGTTATTTCTTACTCCTGTTTTTAGGTATTCGGCAGAATAGTGATTAAATATTTGGTATTCAGCTGAATAGTAACCGAATATTCGTTACATCACTAGTATATTTACATAGAATTAGTAAAAATGTCTGTATTTGTGCATTTTATTAGATTATATAAATTTATATTAATAATTAGATTTAAATAAATTTAGATGTATATAATTATATTCAAAATTATTTTCAATCCATTAGTTTTCCAAAAAGTCCTCGACTGTATTATTCAATTTATGTCACTAGTATGTTTCTTTAAACTAAAATCATCCTGTTCATATTCTTCACTAGTGATCATATTTTCTTGAGTTCTGCTATATAATTACAATACCAATCAATGCGTATATTCATTTGTTTTAAGTATAATTCTAGGCTTACAAAACTACACAGAAGAGATTTTGCAAGAATATATTATAATTTTTAAAACTGACTTGCAGTTCTTGATTAGGCACAAAATATTTTGTTTCGATCCCATTTTTTTAGATTATCTTGGTACGATTATGACAGAAAACATGCTCTGATTCTATATGCACAAAGACAGGTTGGTTTTTAAATTCTAAGTAATTTTAAATTGGATAAGAGATGGCACATGCCTAACTCTAGATCAAAATAATATGGAGAATTTGAACAAAAATAAAATTAAAACTCCAAAAAATCTGAGAAAATTTGTTATTTACAAACATGAAAATTACAGAATAAAAATAAAAAAAGTTTTAGGTAGAAATATATTTATAAAAAAATATCTATTAATTATTTGCCATTTAAAAAGCTAAATACTTAAAACACTTATACAAATTTCTATATAATAAATTAATGACTACTGATATTAATAGTTTATCTAATTCTTTCTTGGAAATACTTCATTTGTAACAAAGACTTATAATTCAAGAGTAATTAGGCTGCAATTTGAAAAAATTGTAGACCTATAAATTCTTACTGTCGTTTGTCTGTCTGTTCTTCCTTAATATCAAGAACAGTGTTAGATACGTGAAAGTCGAGATCCGATATGGAAATCTTAGGAGCAGGAAGCCCTGACTAACTATATACGAACTTCTGGTTTAGAACGGAAGTCACGTGAATTCAAAAATTTCCCCCGAATGGAATTACATAGATGAATGACATGACTGTTATTATCAGGAAAAGTATGATGTACAAGAGCAAGACACTACAAATTTGAGATAGAGAACATACATTATAAATTGAATACGATTAAAAATTATAACCTGGCATTGTGACAATGTCATAAATAATTGATATTTATTTATCAAATTGGGTAAATAAATCAATTAATATCTTTGGCTTCTTTTTTAAGAATGAACTTCCATACTTTAGATCAATGAGCCAAATTGCACTCAAGTTGTGGGAAAGCAAATTATAGAATACAAAGAAAGACTAGAAAAATTCTTCTAGATGTAGCAAAATGTTAGATACCAATTTTTAATCAATATATTTAATCCA